GAGACGTTAGGCCCTTGGGCGGAATCAACCCCTGTGCGCTTGGAAAGAGAGCTGCCTTGTGCTGCCTTCTTCCTGCTCTGCTTCCGGGCAAGTTCCTAGCGAAGCTGTGTCGTGTGCACTTAGCTTCCCAGTCTCATGAGCTTTGAGATTGCTTAATTATTTAAGGTACTTTTCTTCCTCGAGGAAGGAGAGAAGATGAGAGAAGTGAGCTGAGATAAAGAATTAGGTCAAGTCCCTTTTCCCTAGTTATCAAATGAACAAAAATGCCCCCAAAAAAGAAAGCAAATGGATTTGTTTTGATGATAATTGCTTAACTAATTACTGCTAGTAAAACGCCACGGCCTGAAGGCCACTGAGGAGCACTGGGATGGAATGGTCTATCATCATATAAGAAATGCAGACTGGAGTGTCAGGGCTCCATCTGTCTTCTAGAAAACGTCTCTCCTCTTCAGCAACTGCTGAAACAATGTTTTTTACACACCTATCTGCCATTTTTAGTCATTAAATAACAAAGTGAGTCATTAGATAAGCAAGTGAAGTGTAGGAACACCRGGAGATGGGCTGCTCTGGAAGACGGGAAATGAGCAGGTAGAACCAGCCCTGTCCAGTGGGGCGTCCTTCGGAAATAAGCAGGGGATTATATTCTGGATGAGGATTCAAAGCTTGGCARGGTCTGGAGATCCCGTGGGTGTCTGTGTCGCCGGGGAGCCGGGACCTTTTGGACTCCCGCATCGCGAGGGAGGCTCCCGGCTCCCGCGAGGGAGGCTGCCGGCTCCCGCCCTCCGCGGTAGGAGGGGTGGGCGCTGGCGCCAGCGCAGGGCGGCCCTTGCCCCATAGCAGAGCTGTGGGGCAGTTGGGGCTGGTTTGGGGCAGTTTGGTTCGATGCAGTTTGGGGCGGTGTGGGTGGCCCTGTCGTGCAGCGCCTCCCTGCCCACAGCAGCTCCCGGTCGCGGCGAGGGGCATCGGTGCTGGGACAGGCAGAGCTGCCAGGGATCCTARAGATATCCGAGTGGCTGCTGTCCAGGCTCTGCCTGAATGGAAAGCTTTGTGTATGTGATTGCTTGTTAGGTCTCTTACATGTATTCCTCAGGGTTTGAAGGAACTTGCTGTGTGTCTCTGGTTTCAGGGCTTGGGAGTTTAAAAAATTACTTATTTATTTGACCCCAGAAGTCATCTTTCATGCAGATGTCTGGGATAAGATTCTACCTTCTATGACAAGAGAAAAGCATATTTTTGTTTTGCCTTTGCAGTGGTGTTAAAATGGGGAGTGCTCAGCAAGAATCAGCTGTGCATGGGTTGCGTTCACACCCAGCTGGGTACGTGGTCTAGTTTATTTTCCCTACTCTGTGTTGCAGAGTTCGAAAGTGCTCGCAAAGAAGGAGCTCTCCTACATGCCCATCATTGGCTGGATGTGGTATTTCCTGGAGATAGTCTTCTGCAAGCGGAAATGGGAGGAAGATCGGAAAACAGTCATACAGAAGTTGCTGAATCTGCGGGACTACCCTGAGAACTTCTGGGTGAGTGACGGCTAACGCGGGAGCAGCCGGTGCGGCTGCAGCACACGGAGTCCTTGTTCCCCCGCGCTCGCGATGGTGAGAGATACATCAATTAGGGAAACGGTGTCCTAAGCAGCCTCACAGTGGCCTCCAAAAATTGATCGCTTTCAAGGTGGTTTCCTAGTGAAGATGTATGTGCCTCGTTCTCCAAAATGAAACTTCCCTTCTGGTTGCTCCTGTTTGCAGCCAGCCCGAGGCAATCACAGCTGAGCTCTGTGTTTGGATTCTCTTGATGTGGTTTCTGGACAGGGGATGTCTAGGAGAGGARGCCTCATTTGATTCTGGCTCCCTTCTCCTCTGTGGATTTGCCTCTGCTCTGTGGCTTCTCAAAGGGGCCTAGTGTCCTTTTGCAAGCCTGGACAGTTCAGCACCAATTTGTGAGCACAATTCACCACCTCCTTTGTATATTGCCCTAGAGGGATTACTGCAGTGGTGTTACACCTAATAGGTAATGGAGATTAAATTGACAGTGTTCAACTGGGGTTAATTCAGAGCGGGGCTTTAGCTTGTGGTGAGCTCATGGCAAAAGAGACAGCAAGTGCAGCTTGTGTGCAAAAGGGCAGGGCATGGTGGGGGGCTGCAAGGATTTTTTTATGTTTCATTAAGGTGTTCAGCAGTATATGATACACTGATAAAAACACTCGTAGAGAGGCTAGCTGCTTGGTTAGTTTTCTTCCATCTCTGTTTTCATGGGCTAAATTGTAGCTGTGGGTTATTGGGACTTTGCTTGTGCTGTTCCACCATGCTCCCTGTCAGCTTTATGTTCAGGCTTAACAGAAAACAACGAAGCAAGTAGTAAATGGCCCAAGATCTGTCTGTTCTCCCATGCCTGCCAGTGGCAACCTTGTAGTGGCTCAGGTGTGAGCAGCTGCGCTGTGTAGTTCATTTTTGGGGTGCTGTTCTGTTCCCCTGCATCTGTTACCAGCCCAGTCACTGGCATCAGAGGTGCCCTGAGCAGGCGTGGGAGGAAATCAGCCGTTGTGGGGCAGGAGGGGCAGAGGGGAGGGCACAGAGGTGTTTGCTAGGAACGTGTTTTGGGCACTCGCTGTGTTTTGGACACTCACAGTGTTTCAGCTGCAGGAGAACCTTGCTGTCATTAAGAGATTTGTGGGTTGCCTGATTGCTTTGCTTCTTGCCCCAGGCAGTTGAGTTATTCCAATACACATCAGGCTGTACCCATCCTTCCTAGCAGCCTTCCCTGTAGGTGGGAGCTGGAGAAAGCTCTGGTCAAATGATCAGCACCTCACTCTGGTTTCTAACCGCAGTCCTGTCCTGCTTGCAGTTCCTGATCCACTGCGAGGGCACGAGGTTCACAGAGCAGAAGCACCAGATCAGCATGCAGGTGGCCGAAGCCAAGGGCCTGCCCAAGCTCAAGTATCACCTGCTGCCGCGCACCAAGGGCTTCGCTGTCACCGTGCAGTGTTTGAGAAATGTAGGTAAGGAAAGTCGCAAGGAACAAGCATTAAATGGTCACTTCAGCAAACTGCTGTTGCTTTGCCCTACTCTCTTTTTCCCTGTAGCATGTGCTGAAGCAGAAAGATCTGATCTTCCTCCACTAGTTTGCAGAAACTGAAGGATTGTGTTTGGCTAGCAAAGTCCTGGGACCATATTTTTTTTTCCCTCTTTTTCCTCTTTTCCTCTTTTCCTCTTTTCCTCTTTT